GGAAGCCCTAGTGCACGCTTCCCCCTGGGACTCTTACCTCCTCCCCGGCCTGCACTTCCCCTCCGGACTCCTCCCTCCTCCCCCACAGAGGAGGGGAGCCCCGGTGCGTGCCTCCCCCCATCCCTAGCGTATGTCAGACCTCGGGACTCCTACCTCCTCCCCCACAGAGGAGAGGAGCGGAGCCAGGGTGTGCGCCTTCCTTCCCCTCTCTCTCCCTCCCCCCAACCCCCAAGCTGCAGCATGTGCCTTCCTCCAGGATTCCTACTTCCTCCAGGCACGCCACAGGTAAGCCGGCACTACCTCCATTTTCAGAGGTAAGTAGTGGGGCTTTTTGGTGGCTGAGGGAATTTGGGGGGGGAGCCCAAATGCCTTGCAATCGACTGGTCGAGCCCTCCCAGTCGATCGCGATCAACAGGTTGGTGACCACAGGCTTATAGGGAACACTAGTTAGGATCTGATATTGAGAAGAGTGAATGATAAAAGGAATAATATTTCCAATTGCATATGACTAGAATTCTATCCACAAATATTCTGAATCTTGTTTGTAGAATGTTTATTTAACCCTGAGACTGAATTTATGCACCTCTGAAGGACACAATATGCTACGGGAAAGTTAGCTTTCTGAGAGGGAGTATAGTGCAGATTAGTTGCCATCAGCCTGTATTTGGCAAGGATTTATAGAAATGTTACCTTACGACAAGCTTGGGCAAAGCGGACCAGATCTGGCTCACCAAGCCACTGGATCTGGCCTGCAGAAGCCCCAGGCAGACTCCCTGCTTGCCTTGCCCTGCCCGCACACTGCTCAGAAACGTGGCTGCGGGGTGGTTTCACTTTAAAAACTGATCCTGGAGGGGAGCGGGGAAGCTTTAGTAGCTGCTCCTGCCCCCCAGCACAATCCCATTGGTCAGTTTTTGGCCAGAAACTGGTCAATGGGAGCTGCCTCTTTCAATAAAAGGCAGCCATGAGGCACAAGGGACTCATAGTTATTCACAGAGCACAGGGGTGGGGCAGGCAGGGAGGCTGATTCAGGAGGCTCCTGGCCAAAGGCTGCCTCTGGGACTCCAGCCTCTCCCTTCCCTGACTGTCTGCCCCTCCACTCCACATCCCAAATCCTCTGCCCCCTCCTGCACCCTTACCCCCCACCCAGATCTGGCACCTGAATCCCCTGCCCCAGATCACACTCCCCTCCTACCCCAGCACAGAACTCAAACCCCTGCATCCCCTTCCTATACTCCAATTCCCTGCCCTAGGTCACAATCCAACCCCCTGCACCCCAGTTCAGTGCCCCAGGTTACAACTGCCTCCTTCACCCAAACTCCTTCCCTTACCCCAAGTTCCCTTCTGCACCTAACCTCCATCCCAGACCCCACACCTCCTCCATTAATATCATGGAAGAGTGCGGCCCTCAACCACTTTCCAAATTCTTGTGCACTCCCTGTCAAAAATTATAGCCCACCCCTGCCCTCAGAGCTTATCTTATGGTTTGAACTGATACTTAAATACTCTAAAATCAACATGCATACTCAGAATTGTCCTCTGAAATATCGTCTAGGAAAACAGCACCTTTTACAGGAAAGACTGGAGTAAGCATTAGCGCTAGTACTGTGTAAGCATGCGTCTGACTCCTTTCCTGACTAGTGGAGCTGTGTGTGACTGGATAAAACCAGGTAGCGACAACTTTCCTCATTAGCCACATGATAGACAAAGTTGCTGAGCAACAGGAACTGCACCCATAACAGTCTTATTCATAACATTGGCTAATGGCAACACTGATTCATGTTCTGCTAGAATATTGGATTCAGTGTTGTTTAACCTTGTATTTAAAGAAGTTTTGATCCATTAATTGTTCTAGTGTTTTGCTCACAAAAGTCAAATTTATGGGATTCTACTACTTTTGTTGAGGTGCTTTCCCATAGCAGTGTTTCCCAAACTATGGGCCGCAGCCTGGTAGCGGGCCATTGGGGAAAAAATACCGGGCCTCAGCATGGCTGCCGGGAGGAGAGCAGAGCGGGGCGGGCTGGGAGGAGGCAGGGAGGAACCGGCCGCTGGGAAGCAGTGGTGGGGGAAGCAGGGCTGTCCCAGTGGAGATCTGGGCAGACTGGCAGGCGGCCAAAGCAGGGCTGGGAGCGGCGCGGCTCTCCCGCAGAGATCCGGGTAGGCGGCGAAAGCAGGGCTGGGAGTGGTGGGGGGAACCGGCCGCTGGAAGCGGGGCTGGTG